TTTCCTTACCTTTGTCTGGAAGCCTGTCACATACAAAGTTGTCCCTTAGAGAATGATTTTTCAGTTTATAAAAGTCTTTATATTTAAACAAGTAGTCTCCTCTGAATACTGTGAATTGCATGGCATATGCATATTCTGTTTGATCTGGTGCTTTAATGGTCTGTTGAAGATACATTTTGAAATAATACTTGACTCCCATGAAATGGCTGCTCTAATCTATAGTTATGTTAATGTACTGGATTTGAGCATTTGTTCAGGTAACATTTTAATGTTTTCTGGGATTTATATTTCCTGATCTGTTGTTTCTTGCTTTTTGTTTTTGTTTTTCTATAAAAAAAAGAGTTCACTGGCCAGAAATTGCAGCAATCTAATTGCCTTGAGTTTCTCCAATTGCCGTTACTTTGTATTTTGTTTTGTGCCTTGTTTGTTTCTCTGTTATTTATGTTCTCCCGCTGCTTTTCTTCACAGGACAGCGCTGCCGTGCAGATTCTTCTAGAGATCTGCTTACCGACAGAAGAGGAGAAAACCCAGAGCAGCAGTACCTACAGTTTGCTAAAGAGTGTTCAGAATACCACAGGTCCTAAGAGTTCAGATCTAGAGGAAGAGGAAGATAGCTTGCTGTGTAACCTTCGAGAGGTCCAGTGTCTGATCTGCTGTCTGCTGCATCAGATGTATATAGCTGACCCCAACATAGTAAAGCTAGTTCATTTCCAGGTCTGGTTTGCATTATTTTAGTTCTTTTATGTTGGTGGGGTTTTTTTTTTCTGGCTAGGAAAGAGCCAAACAAAGTGTTCAGAGGATTTTGGGTGCTATTGTTGTGTTCCTTACAAATTACAAAAACACTCTTCTTTCCGTCCTCCCACATTTGTAGTAACCACATTCCCTCCAAATTTCAGAGCTTTTGCTCACTGTTGTAGCTGAGAGGGAGCAGCAAAGCCATGTCTGTTCCTCATCATTAAACACAAGCTTTGATTGTGCCTTTGCCCTATTATATACTGAAATAGCGTGTCCGTTCTAGGCCAAAGAAAACTGGCATGCACATCTTTTAATGACTTATTCCACATATTGCGGGGGGTTTCCTTTTTTCTGGCAGTGATCTGAAATTCAAATATCCGTTATTCAAAAGCCGTCATGTGGTTTCAGATGTAAACCTCTTACCTTTCATTTTTGTTAGGGCACACTTAATCTCCTCAGAGTCGAAGGCTAAAGAATGCCCCTGTCAGGGCAACTGTAGGCCTTCAAAAAAAGAAGCCTGGGAAGCTTAGCAATTTTTTAATATAAATCTGGTTTTTGGTGTGTGTTAAATTGTACATTGCCAGATGGCAGTCTTGTTAAAAGCAGCTAATTTGCCTCGACCTGGAATTGATTAAGTGGCTGGAAAAGTCCTTATGGTTCTGTTGTGAAATAAGCAAGTTAGGGCAAACACTAAATGTTGGAGTCCTGTGGATCAGATTCACCAAGCCTCCCTCAAGTTGCCTTAGAGGTGCAGGCCTGTTGCTTGTCTTTCTGAGGGAAGGAAAGTTGAAAGTGTATGTTTAGAAAAAAACATTAGTGAAGCAATTTTTAAAACACCTTTGGTGTATCTGTTTTCTTAATGTGGCAGGGTTATCCGTGTGAACTGCTGGCCCTGACAGTGGCAGGGATTCCATCGATGCACATCTGTTTGGATTTCATACCTGAGCTCATTGCCCAGCCTGAACTTGAAAAACAGGTACTGTGCAATCATCTAGTCAGAGAATCACTGTAAGTAATTAACCATGATACGGTCTTAGGGGGAGAAAAGAAAAAGAACCCTTAAAAAAAAGTCTTGCTCTAACCTGCCCAGTATATTAAGGTAGTATCTGTAGCATTTTTAGCTTGAGTTAAAGGCTCTGCCACCAAATCCAGGACTCCTCCAACGTAGCTCTGTACATTTGTTTTGCAGATGCTCCTGAATTTCAGTGTTACTTCGCCTCTAAGAACTGGAATAAAAGCTCTTTAAGTAACAGCTTTCATTTTTTATATTGTGTATCTATCAGTTGGCAGAAGTTTTGCCTACTTAGCTTTTTAGCTGATACTTGATCGCTAGAGGAACTTGCATGAGTGTTCAGATTTTGAAAAGCTTTTTTTTGCAGAGGTACTCTGCAGAACAGATGGAGCAGCCTGAGGATCAAAATTTATCTTTCCTTGTGAAAGGTTTGACCACCAAGTCTTTTTTTTTTCCCCAAGGAATATTATTACATAATTGAAGCTTAGCAAAGCAAGAGTCAGAAATTTGATTTTTGAAAGGCCTTCTTGTGATGGTTGTGAAAAACAAGGGCAAAAAATTGTTAATTAGTAGTTCTTAAAGCAATGATAAATGTTGATTTGGTATACTGTCACATAGGAGATGACAAATTTCTCTAGTCCTAGGTAGCTGGATAGTTGGGAGCTAAAGATTCTTCTGTTTTCTGTGTTAAACAAATTTCTTGTTTGCGTTTATTTAATCCCTTTTAAATACTGCTCGTGAGATGGCATTCAGCTGAAATTTAAGCTAGAACACATGGGATATTTAACAGCTTTTACAAGGATTACATTGTAAATTGTTTGTTCCTTTGTTGCTCATTGAAGTGTTGGAACAAATTATGTCTGTGAGGGAAATTCTGGAAGTCTAACTGATGCTTGACTAATGTTAAACATCTGTGTTGTGTTTTTTTAAAGTCAGCAGAAAAATTTTGCAATAACTATTTTTAAGGCTTCTCTTCCTTGTTGTGAAATGGAGAATATTTACTAACTCCTAAGTTATGTGAAGAGGATCGTAACTGCAAAGCACTGTATAACTCACTGTTTATTTCTTTCTTGCCTTTTACCTACTTCCCAGATATTTGCCATCCAGTTACTTTCGTTTTTGTGCATTCAATATGCTCTACCGAAATCTCTCAGTGTGGCTCGTTTGGCTATCAATGTGATGGGAACCCTACTCACAGGTGAGCAGTCCAGCAACACCGGAATGCATTGCTGTGCAAGTTAGATTTGTCTAGGTCATGTGCAGTGGTACCAAAATGCCAACAAGTTAATGGTAACTGTAAAGGTAACAAAACAATTCCTGACTAGATTCTGGTAATAGTTCCTTTCTACTTAACTATTTCCTTTTCCCCCATAGTTTTAACCCAGTCGAAGCGCTATGCCTTTTTTATGCCAACCCTGCCTTGTTTGGTGTCATTCTGTCAAGCCTTCCCTCCTTTATATGAGGATATTATGTCTCTGCTGATACAGATAGGGCAAGTTTGTGCCTCTGATGTTGCTACACAGACAAGAGACTTTGACCCAATAATTACACGTAAGTAAGGCAGCTTGTATTTCACAGGTAATTTAATGGTATTACAGATATAATGTAACTATTTATTTATTTGCACTTTGTTTTTCTAACTTAATTTTTTTTTAGGTCTCCAGCAGCTAAAGGAGAGACCAAATGAAGTACTGGGACTTTGTAAAGATTCGCCTTACAAAAGTTGTTCAAGGGACATTACAAGTGTGGACCCTGATGTTCAGTTGTGCCAGTGTGTTGAGAGTACTATAATTGAAATTATTAACATGAGTGTAAGTGGAGTTTAGGGAGAATGCAAATGGTACCTGGATTTGGAGAGAGCTGCCAAAGTGGATTGAAGCACAAATCTGTGTTTTAAATTCATTGGATTCAGTTGAGGCTGAACCTTGTTGAAGGAAAAGAATACTTCAAAAGGATTTATTTTGCTTGGTAGATCGTTTGAATGTAGGCATGAATTTTTGGATGTGCTTTATATCTGATTTGATACAGCAGCACACCCATAATGGGTTTTGTAACACTGTGAAGTGAGGACTTCATTTGTTGAGCAAAATGCAAAATGATGGGTAAGAAAAATCTGAGATTGGAGAGCTTTACTAGAACTCAAATGAATGACTGTTTCAGAGCCTTGCAGAGCAAGATGGAATAAAATATTCCAAGGAACACTTGAAGAGTTATGTAAATAACTTGCACCATCACATTGATTACTAAGAAAAAGCTTTAACTTTTTTATTTGCCTTTTGAATCATTGGTCACAGTGTGAATTAGTCACAGAACTGAGCTGAACTGGCCTGTAAACTGTTGACAATTCGAGATCTGTAAGTTCAAAACAGATTTAAATATCAGCCAGCCTTCATGAAAAGTTTGAATCCGATTTCAAACTAAACTAAAGAGACAAACTAAAAAAATGAAAACCCAAGCAAAAACCTCCTGGTGTAGGAACAAACTGAACTGTAGCACAGATTGTTCAGTATTTTTAAACCTCAGTTTGAAAGAGATGAGAATGTTGTTAGATTAAGCGTAGAGATAACTTGTCATCAGGATAAGATTAAATAAGAAATTAGTATTGGAGATGACTGTGACAGAAGTCACAGGAGTGAGAAGGGTGACGAATTTCAGCCAGACCACAGCAGTTCCAGCTCAGAGAACAAGAAGGCTAAATCCATGTGTGTACATGATCTTTCATTTACAGCTGCAGGATTTGGCCTTGATGGATGTATTGTAGCATTGCAGAAGAGGCTTATGGTGCAATTTTCTTGAAGGTTGCGCAAGCTCTGGTGTGAGGCAACAGAGAGATAAAATTGTTGGGCTGTTGTGCCAGAACTGGATGTTGTACTTGACTTGCTAAGCTTGGCAGCCTATCTTTACTGGATTTGAAGTGACAGCATTCAGCATCCCTCATTAAGTACAATATTTTCTTCCATTAAAATCAGCTTATATTTCAGAAATAACGGTCTGATTTTTAGTGTGGCTGGAGGAAGTCCTGCATAGCTGTCTTTGACCTCTGCTGGATGTTAAGTGGGAGGCTAATGCTGAGTTCCCACCACCATTCCAGGATTGTTTGAGTGTAACCATGTGGTGACACCCGGCTATATTTTTTGTCATCTCGGTGTAATGTATGTAAATATATATTTTTTTCTTATGTTCGATTTTCTATGCAGTATTGATATTTAAATAAATAATTTTTAGGAAAAAAAAAAAAGTGGATGTGCAACGGTTCAGAGCTGCACAAACTTTTAATTTGGAGTGAATTTTTGGCATCAGCAGGGGCACGGCCTAGGGAGAGCGTTGCCCGGTTGCGTAGCAACGAGCACAACGCGGAAACCAGCAAGGTCCTCCACGATTGGTTCTAACGGTGGAGCGGGCGCAGCTTAGTATGCGGTTTGCTGATTGGTGGCTCCGAGCCTTTTCCTGTCAGCTGATTGGCGGGTGGTGCCGAGGCCGCGCGGGAGGCGGGAAGGTCGGACGCTGACAGAGCTGTCGCCTCAGGTGAGCGGCCGCGCGGAGCCGCTCGTCGCTTTCCGCGGGGCGGAGCGCGGCCCTGAGGGGAGCGGGCTCGGAGGAGGCCGCGGGGTGGCTTTCTGGGGGCCTCTTAGAGAAAATGAAAGGAACGCCCAGGTGCGCAGCGTGAGCGGGGATGACGCGCTCGGGAGGATGACTGCAGCCGCTCCCTCGGCGCTCTCTTCCCCCCCCCTCAGCAGTAGAATCGCCCGGTCCCACCCGCAGCTCCCGGCTGCTGCCGCCTTCTGCCCCGTTCGGTCCTTCAGGGAGTCCTTCCCACCCCTGTTCGTTTGCAGAGATCGCATAAACTCGGTTCCGAGCTGATCGTTGGGGAGACCCCCGAGTGTCTTAGAGAAAAGCCCCTCGACTGTCGCGGTTGCGTTTTGGGAGGAGGGGCTGTGACCGCAGAAACCCGTCAGCGATCCTCTGCTGGCGGGGCTTCTCTGTGCTGTTGGGAGCTGACGGTGAGGAGGCGTGCCCTGTGCTGCTGGTTTTCTGATGTCTGTTTCCTCCTAAAAATTCAGTTGGGGATGCATTTCATATATCAGGCTGCTGTATTGGTTTGTACATGCTAAAAAAGATAGATTTATGTCTTTTAAGACTAAGGTTTTTTTTGTTTGTTTCTTCCTCCCATATGTGTATTTTCCAGTATCTTAAACTCTCAGCATTTTAGCATGATATGAAGCAGGCTTTCCTTTATCATTCAGAGTGAGGGAAATGCAAGGTAACACGAGTGGAACAGCAAAGTTAGTGGCAGCCCATTTACCCTCGATTAACTGTTAATATAAAGATGGTATTGGTTTAAAGCATCTCCTTTTTAACATCAGTGCCCAGTTTCACCTTTTTGTAGCTATGAAACAAGCACTGCAAGCTTGGCCAGTTGTGTCACTGTAGATTACAGCATCTTGAAGTTCAAGCTAACAGCCTGAAGGACTGGAAAGCTGATTTTTATTTTTATTTTTTTAAAGAATTATTTCATTTTCTTTTTAGTAGTTTTTCAGTCTCCTAAAATACCTCTGCCTTCCTTCCCATGGGATCTGAGTTGTTATCTCAAAAATACTCAGTTTGAGAAATGGACTCAAATGATGCGTGCATTTCATTCATAGTGTTTTTCTTTCTTTTTGTGCCCATATCTTTTGTTTTATTTGTATTGCTGGAGTTACTCATCAGATGGCAGTAACTTGTTCATTGTAACAAGTAAGCCAGAACAGAAGACACAAAATATAAATTCCTGTGTGCCAATGTCCAGAGCTTTCAGCTCTCTTCCTGCTTGATTTGGTGCCATTTGTTGTTTTGAGCTTTCCTTGTTGGTAACATTGACTTGATTCTGTTTTTTACTGCAGTTAAACCTGAAATAAACAGGAGAAAGCAGCAATGTCTTCTGACGTGTCACAATATACTATTGGGGGAGTGAAGATTTTGTTCCCTTGCAAGGCTTACCCTTCACAGCTTGCTATGATGAATGCTGTAAGTAGCATTTGTACAACCATCCACTGAGCAAACAGCTTCCAGCTTTCAGTACCCATCAGCCTGTAGAAAAATAATTTCATTCACCAATAACATATTTAATTCTCCAGCATCTTGAGAGTTTCACTCATGATGGACCTTACTGTTTTTTGTGCTGTGCAATAATAATGGCCCCAGGTGGGGAATGTTAAAATGCATTTTTGGATTTGTCAACATTCATGCTAAGAAGAAAGTTCTGTAATGCTGTAAATGCTTGTAATACATGTGCATTCTAATCTAGATTTTATATAATTCTGCAAATATATAAGGAGAGAATGATTTAATACAACACACCTTTGAAACAAAATGTTAGTGTTTCAGGAAGTGTTCACCTTCCTGAGAATTTTCTTTTCCTTAGTAATTCTAGTTTTGTTCTTGTTCTCCTTCAAGATCGTTAAGGGCTTAAATAACAGGCAGCACTGCTTGTTGGAGAGCCCCACAGGAAGTGGCAAAAGCTTGGCATTACTTTGTTCTGCATTATCATGGCAGCAGGCTCTGTATGGTAAGTGTAACGTCTGTCTGCATAGCTTTTAATTACCAAAATGTGTTGGAATGAATTGCTCTTGTTGCTTTTCAGTCCTTAAATACTTGATATTGGTAGCGCTCCATCCGTGGTTACATGCGTTGCCTCCTTGGCAGTGTGGCATTAGGCAAACACAGGAGTAATGGCCTAATTGCCAGTAGCACTGAGCAAAATAACTTTCACGTTCAAGTGGATTTAGCTGTCTGTTATCGTATGGGAGTGATACGGCTTCTGGACTTAAAAGGAAAATACTTGTGGTTTGCAGTGACGTGGATTGAATTGCGGAAGAGGGGTTTGGTTTTTTTAGTTGTGTGAGTTGTTGCAGTTTCTTTGCTCAGCAGATCTTGAATGAGTGATGACAGCTTGTTCAGGCTGTGTAGCATGTAGGGAGTTTTATAACTGGTACCTACATGAAGCCTTTCACCTTACCTGCTCTGAAAGTCTAGTTCTCGTCTACGAGCCTGAAAAAGTTTTCTGGAAGACAAACAGCTGTGTCCTTTATCTTCCTTAGAGAAATCACTGCTGAAATCATCATGTGAAAAGGAGGACAGAAAGGAGCCAGCAGCCTCCCCACCGTGTTGCTGTGTTTGTCATTCCCTATCCAAGAGCAGCGAGGAGGCTGCAGGAGCGAGTCATGGTGCTGCGTGTTCCAGTAATCATGAAACAGGAGGCTCTGTAAAAACTGGAGGCCAACAAACAGACGCAGGTAATTTTGAAGAGAAGAAGATGGAAATCAGTTTTAGCACTAAAAAGCATTGCCATTGGTGTCACGTCTCATGCTTTCAAGTCAGGGACTTTTTTATCATCGTAATAGCAGAGTGCTGTGTGATTCTGCCCTGCGTGGATGTTGTTATGTAGAAATCCCCCTATGTTGTGTCTTAACCATGTTTGTAATAAACGATATATTTAAAATGTTGCCCTTGCTTTATGCATTTCTACAAATGAACATGATTTTTGTCACTATTTCCCTTTAATTTTTACAGAATGCAAGGAAAACAATACCCTAGCTTCAAAATTGTCTGCCAAAAAAAGGGCATCTGTATGTGGAAACGAGAGCGATGACTTTCAAGTAGACAGGAAGAGGATTCGTCCTTTAGAAACAGAGCAGCAGGTGAGCACAGTTCTTTGGCAGTGAGGCTATCCAGGTGCAGCCCTCTAAAACAGCTTTTCAGAGAAAAAGGTGTTTCAAAGAAAGGTGAATCCTTGGCGTGGCTGTGATTTAGGTGGACGGATTTTGTTCATTCTTGTTGTAACAAGAGCCCATTGTTGCATTAAGTTATGAAGAGTACCGTGTTCTAAATGATTTCTTGCCTATTTAAATGCACAATATCCACAAAGTATATTTATCATTAGGAGATACATAATATGAAGTTGAAGAAGTATGAGATTTTAGAGTTGGATGCTCTCACAAATATATATAAAAAGTACAAATAATACATTATTAGAACTATGTACTGTATCCTTGCAAATGTAGTTTTCGCTGGCCTGCAGCATGGAGTGCAGTATTTCTGCAATAGATTGCATCACAATACCTTTTTTCACCCCGACAGGTTAGAAAACGTCATTGCTTTTCAAAAGAGGTGCAGCTGGTTGATGCTTTAGAAGTTTATAATCAGAGAAAAAATGGGGAGCTGGTTGTTCACTCTGAAAAAAGTGTAAAAAACACTTCTCCCAAAACGGTGAGTAACGTAGAAACAGCTCTGATGCCATGATTATTAGGTCGGGCAGTTTTCTGAAATGATTTTGACTTGGGCCTTTGTATGACTCAGAGTAGCCTTTATTTTGATTGCTGTTTGTTTTCACTTCAACAGCTGCTTTCCAGTGTGCTCTGCTTTGGCAAAAGGAGCCACAAGCTTTGGTATCACTTTGAGAGAGTGGGAGCTGAGTCTAATCATGAGTGGAAGCAGTTCTCTGGGTCTTTTGATGTGATTTTCATGAGCTTTGGAAAGCTCCATAGATTTTTGAGTAGGATATGAAGTGCTTTGTGCCCCTGAACTTCAATTGGCACTCTGAAATACAAAGGCCAGCAGAGTGTGCTGTTGATTTTCAAATAAAAAGGCTTCTCTTATTTGATTGTCAGATTTGCTTTTGGTACTTGAGCGCAAAACTTCCTTCTATTTTTTTTTTTCTTTTTTTTTTTTTTTTCAAGTTCAAGGAATTTTAGGTAGCGAAGAAAATTGAAAACAGTCACTTGATCTCTACTAAAAAATTGGCTGTGAATCAGTATTTTATTATTTTCAAGATAAGGCCATTTTTCATAACAGTACATCAGTTCACAGACAGTGAAGTCCCTTGTTTTTATGCAGGTCGTTCCTGTTAATTCCAGGCGTGCGCATCGCCTGAACGCTGTTGCCTGGTACTTGCTGAATGGCAAAGGAACTTGGCAAAACCAGCTCCTTGTCTCCTTGTCAGGTTTCTGCTTCTGCTCCGAGCAGAGGCAGGGGGGGCTGCTGTGCACCTGCAGGACCCACGGCCAGGTGCCCACTGCTGCGTGCCCAGCTGAGGGGGGGCAGCCCTCCAGGAGCTTCGGCTGAGAAATCGTACTCTTAAGCTGCTCTCTTTATTTCTCCCATGAAAGCACATGGTCTGAGAAACTGGGGCAGCTGGGTTGAGGAATCCCCATTTATACTTGTTTGAAAAAAAAAAAAGAAAAGTAAACAGTAAATGGAGAGTAGTGTAACAAACACTTGGGGTATCAAGAAACAGCTGTGAAAAGAATCTGTCTTAATGTGCTAGCCTATTGCAGTCGAACATATTGCTTACAACCTTCACAATGGAGTTTGAGTGACTTCTGTTACACATTCCAGGAGACTGGCAGCCTGTTACAATCAGGGTCTGGACTCCAGAATAGGCTAATTTACCGCAGTGGGATGAAGAAAGTTGTGGATTTGTGTTACACGCTCTCACCTGACACCGTATCTGATCCTTTACCTGCTGATTGACGTTTTGAATGAGCTCTTTGAAGCAGGTTCCAGCTTAATTAAAACGTTTGCTTGGTTAGCAGTGATCTGTGAAAGCCTGTGATAAATATTGAACTGGGTTCACCTGCTGGTTAGTGCAGAGGATAAACAGCTGCTTTGTGTGCCTTAATCAAGGGGCCGCAGCAGCCGCAGGGTGCTGTGCTTTCTGAGGCCCATAAAGGAGGAGTTGAAAAGCTCTGTAATGTCGCTGCTGATATCTTCCTAGATTGTGCTTGTGTGATACTTCACACAAGCAGTGTTCACTGTTTTATCATCTAGATGGCTTTGTAACTGGGAAATGTAGATGCAGATATGAAGAACTCCTCTTATCTCTTTGCGTTTCACAGATCACAGCCTCCGTGTTTGTTTTGCTCCTTTTTACTCGTAGGACAGGTCGGCAGACTTGATTGTTCTTTTATTAATCTGACTTGGGTGTTTTTGCTGTATAAATACTGATGCGATAGGCAGCTTTATCTGCCTGCTGACAGAAGGAGAACAAGCTGGATTGCCCCAGGTCCATATAGCTGGTATCTGATCTCTAACATCTGCCAGTGGATGTCACTGATGAAGTAGTGCAGAAGGCTATATGTTTTTCCTCTCTAAAAATTTATCCTGGATTCATACAGCTGAAGACAGGTTTGGTCTTACAGCCAGTGGCCATGGTGAAATAGTTTTCTACTTTCTTAATTATTTATACACTCCCATGTCTATTTCTCTTTGTGTGTATATATATTTCTATATATTTCTGAGCTGCATTTTCCCGTTGTTACAACAATTTTTACAAAATGGCTGCTCGATTGGTCATAATATTTTTCTATTACTTTTATTTCATAAGTGAAATATGCTAATGCTAAGCTCCACCAAGTATCAGTGATAACTATTATCTTTGAATTCTGCAAATCAATTTGAATTGAGTTGAAAAGCCAAATGCATTCATGGAGTAGGCAGACTGCTTCTTATGCATTAATTGTCAGCATGTTGACGTGCTGTTCACTGTTTCAAAGAGCAAAGTAGAAATATCAAGGTGCAATTTGCAGCTGTGTTGAGTACAAACAGAGTTGAGCGTTGCCACGTATGTAACATACACCACATGTCAGCTGTTTCCTGCCTCGCTGTTGACAAGAGCCCCATTCATGACTCTTCTTTTTATCCTTTCGGTGAATAAGTAATTATTCAATATTGAAGGCAGGATATTTGGAACTGGCTATTTAATGTGGCAGCACAGGGTAACGAAATCTGCTGTTACTGGCAACCTGAGAGGGGAATGTAACAATTCCAGCACGGGTGTAACTGTATCTGCTTTGAGGGCCTGTTTATTTGGCACGTCAGTGCACCTTTTATCCCAGTGAGTGACAGCCCCAGAAGGGTTACATTTACATGCATCCTATCATGTATTGTAATATTTAATGGTGGACAAGGCTGAGTGGGGCTGAGGGTAATGTGAACTTGCTTTGCCTCGGAGTGGAGGCTAAAAGGCAGCTTGATCCGCAGTTGCGGTGTAACACACAGCATGGCTAGCATTTGTTTATAATGGATAATCTTACTGATTACAATTAAAAAGGGAGGGAGGAATATTGGCAGCTACATGTTGGTGCTTGCACTATCAAGCTGAAAACCAAATACAAATCCTGGTACACTGGAGGAATTCATTATTTTTATGAGAGATGTACATAGGCACTGTTACTCATGAGTTTCTTGTTTTCCGTGCTTCTTTTCGTTCTAATTGTTACAGTTTGGAGACAGTTGTTCCACTGTCTCGTGTTGTGACGGACGTTAGAAAGGCGGTGCTTCTCAAGAGGAAAGAAAATGCTTTTAACAAATATTTTATGGGTTCTGCTTAGAATTATTCATTTTGTCTTTTTTTGTAGTTACTAGAAGGCCTTTCATGTAGTAGCACATCAAATTTGTTCCTAATTGTGAGGTAGTCTGGTATTTTTTCTGCAGATTTCATTAAACTGTCTGGATTCCTTTTGCGTGCTTTAAGGAAAAGTGCTCTCAGTAGTTCCATTTAGGTGTCACATCCCAAAGTTTTCTCCCTTTAAGTTTCGGGATGCTTCTTGTTTTGAAACAGTAGTATCCTTCTGCCCAAGTTTAAATGTCAGAAGTTCCTTTACGTTCTTTGTGTGTCTCACCTGTGTGCGCACTCCACGGGGGCAGCAGTTTTCTCTGAGATTGGGTTCTGATGAAGTTGAATATGGTGATAGGAGAAAGTATTCTAAGATTTTGAGGCATGAGAGGATGTGATGTTCTTTAACATTTCTTTACGCTGATAGGCCGGTGTGATGATTCAACAGGATATCTTGAACTATCCCACAGGGCAGTTTCTAAATAGACCGTAAAAATATTTGGCTTGTTCATCTTGCAGTGGGATTTTGCTAATCTTTTTTCGGTTTGGGTTACAGCTTTCCATCCCTTGCACAGAGTGTTCCTGTTCCTCTGGAAAAGAAACTCGTAAAGATGCTGGTAACACAAAGAAGAAAGCAAATGGAGATCAGACGTTCATTCCCAAAATATTTTTTGGAACGCGCACGCACAAACAAATTGCCCAGATTAGCAGGGAGTTGCAGAGGACAGCGTATTCCGGTGTCTCTATGACGATTCTCTCCAGCCGGGACTACAGCTGTATTCACCCGGTGGTGTCCAGTAGTAGTAGCAACAGGAATGAACTGTGTGTAGAATTACTGGAAGGAAAGCATGTGAGTAATTTTGAGCATATGATTATAAACGTAGAGTGAAAGGTAGTTGAGTTTTGTTTTTATTTCTTCATGCTGTGTTGGTTAAATTCTTCTGGTAACTAAGATAAAATTACATTTTAGTTCACAGACACCATCTATCAATTTTTTCTATGTTGAAAAATGTACACTAGAAATAACCTCTATTACTCATCCTATTTGTGAGCATAGTTATAATTTCTACAGTCCTATTAAAAGTATTTTCCTTTAAATTATGAAGTTACACATCGAGGACTGGTACCTCTGCACTGTATTTTTGTGGCCTGTATGTGGCTTTGATAATGTTGCCTACAACGTGTGGAATGAAGTAGCTATCTTTATTTTTGCAAGCATTTAGTTTCTTGTATACATAAATGCAAAGTGCCCTTTGTTTATTGAACGAACTACAGATCTGGCCACGTTAATCTCTTCAAGATGTGCTTTTCATTATTGCCCCTACTAAAGAATAGTAACTGGTAGAAATGTTTTTAGGAAATAAAGTCATATGTATGTAACAACTGTGAGGCTTTTAAGCTTGCTTGTTTTTGTTGTTTTTGTAACCTGAAATATTCTGTGCTCATTTGCTTTTAGGGCAAGTCCTGTCTTTACTATCATGGTGTTCATAAACTCACTGAACACTATGCCCTGCACTCTGCACATAACACATACCAGGCTTGGGACATTGAGGATCTAGTGAGCCTGGGAAAGAAACTTCGTGCCTGTCCATACTTTGCAGCCAGAGAACTCATGGTGGGGGCAGATATTGTATTTTGTCCTTATAACTACCTCCTAGATCCACAGATAAGGGAGAGTGTAAGTATATTTGTAAGAGTCACTGCAATAAGTGAAGTTAAAAAAACAAAACTGTAATGTTCAGTGGTCACTGAAATCCTATTTGTATCCAGATACAATCTACAAGTAACTCCTGGGTTAAATTTTTTATTGATTTATTTTTGAATGGATGTTTCTGCATTTCAAGCGATGTTTCCTTTGTTCATATAGCTTAGCTAATCAGTCACTTGTTGGGCTCATGGAGACCATTTTTGAACAGAATCCTATTAGTTGCTATTTCTCATTATTACGTTTTACTCTGTTTTACCAGATACCTTATTTTTTTTTCTTTTTTTTTTTTTTTTTTAAGATGGAAATTAACCTGAAAGGCCAGGTAGTCATTTTGGATGAAGCCCATAATATTGAGGACAGTGCTCGGGAGGCAGTGAGCTACAGTGTTACAGAAAGTCAGCTGAATGCTGCTCGAGAAGAGCTAGATTTCATGGTCAATAACAACATCAGACAGAAGGATCATGAGCACCTACGAGCTGTGTGCTACTCTTTGACAAAGTAAGACAATCCTTTTTAATTGCTTTATGTCAATTAGTATTTAGATAAGAGCATTCAGACTCCTTTTGTCTTTACTTAAAATGTTCATAATCTGCAATAGTAGGAATCTCAGTCCCTTCTTGATTTGGTTGCAGATTCTTCATATTTGAAAGTGAATTTATCACTCATGCCCTTTGTTTTCCCTACAAAACTTGGCTCAGATTTGAGTGGAGAGCTCTGAAAACCTGCAGCATGTACAGATTTGCAGTAGAGACCTGTTAAGTCTTCAGAGGATTCCGTCAGCAAACACTTTGCACAAGCTCACCCTGTCCTTTTTCTGATCATTCTCAGGCACAAGTTGTCCATGCACTGTTCCTGATCATTTTCTCCCTATGTTATGTCAGCAGAATATGATTTTAATGATTTGCTTTTGTACTGAATTTGAAACCAAGGATGTGCTGAATCTCTGCGCACCTGCCTTGTTGAAACACAAGTGTCATGGAGTTCAGTGAACAGAGAAATATGAGTAACTGAGAGTGTAGTTTTGGGAGCTAGAGTTGATAAGTAAGGCAGAATGAAGCTGAGAAAGTAGAAAATGTTCTCCTCTCCCCTGCTTTGTTTTTATTGCTGTTCATGTAAAGGAAAAGGTAGTAAGAGGAAAAAAGCATGTAAAATCCAGAAAGCACAGAGAGGATTGGAAGAGGGGGGCCTCAACAGAAGCTGGAAATCTTCAGAGGAAGTGGAATATAAAACAGTACAGCAGGGGCAGAAGCTTGGGAAGAAGGGGAGAAAACGAGGGCACAAGGGTGTTTTGTGTGGAGTGGGAACGTGAGAAAGCTAAACGCCATGGCCTTGAAGTGATCTGAGCTCTGAAGCAGTGCATGTCAAATCATTGTTTTGTTGTGTCAGTGGCTGGTGGAATACACTGTGCAGCACTACAGCAAGTAGTTCATCGTTTTCCTATGCTCTGTCCTGAGAGTTGATGCTTGTGTCAGAGAAACGGCTTCTGGTTTTCTCTTCTGCAGAAGCTAGTTCTCCTACTTTAGCTATTTCAAATGCTGTATTTTAGTACAAGATGGGAATAGCATGGTTGGAGATTTGATTGCCCCAAGCCTTTTAACCTTATCAGAAAAATGAAGGTTGATTGTCTTGGCAACTGCCAACAATAAGGAAAGCGGTTGGAAAGCAGAGGACTGGGTGTAAATGGCCAGTAATTGGTAATGTGCTGTTGCATAAAGTGAAGTAGCTTTGCCAAATGCATGGGTAATTAGAAAAATCTGATTTCACTTGGAAAGGTCCTGGGCCCTCATTCCAGGCAGCACTTAAGCAATGGGCTTTGTGCCACTGAGGTGCCAAAATGACCTTTCTGAGGAATTTGAAGATACAGCAATGGAGGTTTGCTAGCAAGCTCTTCTGATGAGATGCAGGTTTAAAAGGGCAAATTGCTTGGTCAGTGGAGGACCAATCAATCACTCGTTCAATTGGTCGTTTGGTGTCAACAATAGGATTTTCTGGTAGGAAGGGAAGGGGTAAACATGCTTGAGCTGAAGGCAGCCTGTGACACGTGCTGAATCCTTTCCTCAAAATATTGCATATGCTGATGTTTCCGCTTCAGTACTATAGATATGTGAGAATGAAGCTGATTTTATTTATGCTTATGATTTTTCTCTGGAAATAAATACTTATTTAAAATAATGAACAGGTGTTTCAGGTAAATGCTTTACCGTTAGATTTAATAGGATGGCTGTTCTTTTCTAGAATTTGCCCTTTTGTATTAGATTAGCAAAGTGTTTGTATTTGCATTTATAGCAAAACCATCTTTAAAGTATGTGATGGTATTTAAGGCTTAGAACAGGGAAACAGAGGTTTTACATTTCCTGAAATGTTTTAACCATTCGTTTCATGCATGCTGTCACGCATTCATTTCTGTCTGCATCTTCCTAATTTTAGTTCCAGGTCTTTTTGATGTTACATTTGAGGAATTAGGGCTGAGTAGTACACTGTTGAACTTATGCCTGTATTAGTGATCATCATTCCTCAACAAGATAAAGCAAATTATGGCCAAAGGAATGATTGTTCTGGTAGTATTTATGGAGATTATTTTTTTGTGTGTAACCTGGCAAAAAGGAAGGTTTTGTAATTGTTCTGTTGAGCAGATGATTTGCAGTGACAGGACAGGAAATCTGGAGCTGAAACAGTTACTAAGCCTTGTTGCTTTATTTGATAATGATTAACTGATTTTACAGATACATATTTTGAACTGTTGTAGAAATGACAGCTGTCTTTCTGATGCCTCCTGCTGGTTGATGAGACAGACAGCTTCGGCATTTCCTGAGAAAGAAGGAGCCTGCCTGCTTTTCTAGACAGAGGGGGAGAGCCTTTGTAACAGTGCAGAGATGATGAAAGACATATTTAGGTAGTGGAAATCTTAGCACTGCCACAAATGAGATGATGTGCCTGCTTAGGTCCTGGTTTTAGAAAGCCCTATCATGTATTGCATTGTCACTGTGGTTATAATTCTGCTTAATTTTCAAGTTGTAGCAGAGTTACAGGTATCTGTGTAGGTACTAAAAGGAGTCATTTCATGTCTGAAGATTTGTTTCTTTTAGAGAGGTTTGCAATTGAGAGGATGACAATCCAACTTTTATCAGTTAGAGTCACGAGTGGCTTTAAAAGTACGGTAGAAATCTTTCCTAAATGAGCCTGACATCTTATATCATAAGAACAGATTTTATTTTAATCTCTTTTCCTTACTGTAAAAATAATACATAACAATAAAATATGAATGCATAGGGAGAAGTTTTCCTCTCTTGTCATTGAGCTGCATCAAGAGCAACTCATTTCAAGAGAAATCAGCTGGCAGAAAGGAAAATGTGGTCAAGTATTTATCACGGTTATGGAAGAGTGGTGCAATTCAAGGTTCATTTTTTCTGGTACTTGGAATGTATTTCAAAGTTTATGTTAAAATTGATTCTGATTTCTTTCTTTTACAGCTGGCTACGGGCAAGCTCTAGTCAGCTGGTAGAAACAGGGTATGAAACCTCCTGTAAGGTTTGGAGTGGAAAAGAAATGCTCAACCATTTTCACGAAATGGGAATAACCAATATTAGTTTTCCCATTTTACAGGTAATGTTGTAAGCTGTATAAATGAGTACCAGAGTTGTTAAACATCTTAAAATACCCGTAAACTAAATGTTAACACATCTGTTACTTTACTACAATTTTGAAAAGCTGTCTAAAAATTATACGTGATGAAAACCAGGAGTAATCCATCTGAGCTGCTGCAACTTGCAGAAAATCCATGTTTTAAAGGTTAAAATTGATCATGTACAATTATCTTAAATTGAGCCAGTTAGTCACCGATAGCTTTGTCTGTTCTATCTGTCTGCATTTTTTATTGACTGTTGAAATGTACTTAGAGTATTTTCAACCCTATCCTTTCTTTTTTGTGTAAGCCAAAAGCTCTGTTAGTTTTCCTTTCCAGTTCTATCTTCAGTCAGACTTTATAGGTGTCGTAGGTGAACTTTTAAAGCAGGTTGTCTTGCATCTGTACTAATTTTGCTTTTGGGAAGATAAATCAGAATGTTAACGTGGAATTTGTTTGCCTCTCATAGAAACACCTTTCTGCTGTCTTGGAAAAAGAAGAAAAAATATCAATGTTTGGTAAAGAGGAGCTTGTTGAGATACCTATCGTGAGCTCTGCCACTCAGATTGTGCTGAAAGGGTTATTCATGGTTCTTCTGTATCTTTTTAAAGATAACAGCAGGTCAGTGTAAACACACAGCCTGAGCTGAGTGGTGGTGGTCAATTCAGCTGCGTTGCCAGTCTGTTTCATTTGTGTGACACTTTTGTTATAGTGTCTGGACTCTGAGGAGAAACCAACATTTCAAAAAGCTTTGGGAAATTTACTTATGTGGGAAGAGTTCTTTGAGAACTAATTTAAATACTACCAAATTATATTGGTTTCACTCAGGAATGAATTCAAGTGTTGAAGAAATTTATTTGAAGGTTAGAAATGAATTTTCTTGATGCGTTGCCAAGTTAAACGTGCATGGGTTTTGTTTTTCTATGTAGCATTTATTATTTTATGCCTTCTGCCTACTAAATTCCAGCAGCTAGTAATGCTTTCTGCTTTAAACCTTATGTTTAAAAATATTAATTACTGCAAGGCTTCATTATTTATCCAAAAGGAGAACTGACAACTATTGAAACTTCACATCTCTTGCAGAGTTACCTTCTTGTAGTGAAGAAGCCTTCACAGCCTGCACAAACAGCTTTTCTGTTTTCAGATACTGCAGCATATAAAATTATTTATACTTAAATTGTAAAGGCTTGTGGCAACATATTGTCTTTACCTTTTATGGACTTACTGTTACAATTTGCTTAACTGTAGTTTTAATATTTCTGTGCCTCTTGGTAGGTTTGCAGATGATTACAGAGTTGCTTTGCAACAAACTTACGCTTGGACAAATGAAAACCAACCTGATGTTTCAGATACAAGTGCTTTCCTTGCAAAGACCAAACATAAAAAGAATTTGCGACATAAAACTGCAGTCCACATGCTTAATTTTTGGTGCTTGAATCCTGCTGTGGTAAGCTGGGTGTGAAGGAACTAATTTTGAACGATAGCAAATAGATGCAGCTGATTGCATCTGTTTTCTGAATTCCTTCATTTCTCTCTCCTTAGGCTTTTTCAGACCTAAATGATGTCAGAACAATTGTTCTGACCTCTGGTACGCTCTCTCCAATGGATTCATTTTCTTCTGAACTTGGCGTGAAGTTTTCCATTCAGCTGGAGGCCAATCATGTTGTCCGGAACTCACAGGTAATCTCCTGCAGAGTTGTTCCTTCCTTTCAGGTATAATGCTGGCCGTTGTGAAATAAAGGTAGCTTGCAAATAAAAATACTGACAGATGCGTTCTGTGAGTGTGAAAAATAATGTGCAGACCAGGCTGGTACGTGGAATTATGCAATTGTAAAGTAAACTTCTGATTGTGCCCCCTCCATTTGAAGATGTAATGCTGTGCCACTTGGTAATTCAGTTTCATCTCAGTTACTGTGCTCTTCTGAAGTATTTAAGTGCCAGGAGTCATTTGCCTAGAGAGGGATCTCAATATTTTAATTCGTCTTTAAAGTTTCATTGTTTAGCATAATGGAATTTAGCACATTTTGTGTCACTTACTTTAGTATTAATTTTTTAATTGTGAAATACACAAGGTTTGGGTTGGCACCATTGGAGCAGGGCCGAATGGTCGGAAGCTGTGTGCCACGTTCCAGCATACAGAGACCTTTGAGTTCCAAGATGAGGTGGGAGCACTTCTACTTTCAGTGTGTCAAAGAGTTGGCCAAGGAATTCTGTGTTTTTTGCCATCCTACAAGGTAAGGAAATCTCTCTTCATATTTTTCCTTTTAAAAACAGCTGCTGTACTTGAAAAACATACTGTGAATTTTTTTGTTCTACACATCAACATGTGGATGCACATAGAATAAATATATTGCAGTAACATGATTATAGCACTGCAACTTCTTTAGGCTCGTGTTGGCTGCTATGCTGATTTGTTTTTTGAAACAGCAGGCTTGTGTTTGTTTTCAACAATGTCTGCATCTCAGTAATGATGAAAGGAGTACGATTTTTTTCTTTGTTTTTTGAGTGCTTCGAACCTATGAAGTAAAAAGAACAACTCTGCATATTCTTTGTATGCTATTTGAATGCAGTGTTCATCCAGTTCATTGCTTTCCTTCTTTCTTGTTTGCTTTCATTGTGCTGAAGATTGTGGTATATTTTTTCCTGAGTCTGATGGGAATTGCTCTCTGGCATCAGCTGAAAAGAATCAGATCTCTCAATTTCGGACTATGTGATATCAGATTTCACTAACAACAGATATCTAATTATGGTTAATTTGTACCTCACAGAAGTTCTGCTTTCTTCTCCATTAGTTCTGGTCATTTATGGTCAGCTCTAGGGAACAGGAGTATTAACCTGCAATATTAAGCTGTTATTCTTGCCCACTTTTCAGGTAATATTTGCAAGAATTTGACTTTTTTTTTTTTTTTTTCCATTTTAAATTCTAAAAAATCTTAGCAATGTTTAAATAAACAAATCCAAACTCAACAACCAACCACAATAAAACCATGAAAGCCCCTGCTATACAACAAAAAAAAAAGCTCTGCAGTCTCATGGAAAAACAAAGGTTTCAGACCCTTTTGCTCATCTCCAGGGTTCCTTGCAAGAGAATATTTTTTAAAGTGAAAGAAGACTTGTCTATTATTATTTTTTTTTTTTTCCAAGCTTTCATGTTAGCTTGATCATTTAACTGAATGACAAATGATAAAACCCACAAGGGTTAGCAAAGCAAGGATTTTTCTTCGTTTTTATTTCTGAGCGTCTTTAAAGGATTCCACTCATCAGTGCAGTTACTGGCTGCAGCCATTAGGTGACCACATTAGACCAGGTAATGTGCAGTCAGCGAAAAAAGTGGATTGCTGACTATAAATTTGTTCAGCTTAGCTCACAAAACTCTGCTGATACACAAAGGCAACAATCTGAGAACAAATTTTGTACTCGGTTCATTTTCTTAAGGAGTTTGTGGGCATATTTCAGTTTCCACCGTCATCGCTGTTCTAATTAGCGTTTAATGTTAAGCAGCATGTGATAGTTGATCTTGTTGCATACAGACCTGGCAAATGCTTTGGGAAGTTTTTATGAGAATAGTAATCTGAATTGAAGGTATGGAAAGACTTTGTAATGACATTTAGTAAATAGAGAAAGAGATTGCTGGACAGCTCTGGTACCCTTCCCCCTCTCACTGCCCTTATGCTTTGCTAAAGGTCACCCAGCTAAACACGTTGAGTGTTTTTTCTTTGTGGGAATACTTCCATGAACCCAGCAAAAGTATTGATAAATATAAATTGCAGACAATTGAAGGATGATATTTTAAAATCACATTGCCAATATTTTTCTATGGATGCCCTTTTTCATTCTGCTGCTGCTTTTATTTTGGATTGGGTTGCCTTTAAAACTAAGAGATTAATTTGTTGAAAATACAGAATAATGTAAGCATAAGTATATTAGTACAGGGAAAAGAAGATATTTTTCTTTCATCGTCATACAGAATATGGTTTACCTGCAGATTTGCATTTCAAAACTGCTTATCAGAGATTTTCATGGGGAGATTGCACCTTTTCAAGAAATTTTTCAAGGCTGTAGAGATAGGATTAATGTACCTGGTCATGTTCCTCACTAAATTAATGATTATGAGTTGGTCTGATATCTTCAAAAATTAGGTTACTTCCAAAATTTCAGTTTCTACTCCTTTAAAAATAAAAGGACAAGAAAAAAAGAGGCAGAAATTGCATCTTAGGCTTTAATAAAATATGAGTGCGTTTTCTGTTCTGTTGTGAGAATGGTGTGCTTTCAGCCTTTATCATTGGGAACAGAGGGAATGGAGGTGTACCACTGCCCACAGGAAGCAGAGGTAGAGAAGCCGGTCTGTGTGGCACGGTGTGTTGTGATGGACTGTGCTGGGAGCATGGAGCCAGGAGCCAGGTGCTGTTCTGTCATTGCTTGTCCTCTGAGACAGGGCAATGTCATTATTCAACATCAGAAATAGAATAAATTTATGGCAAAAGTAGAACAAATCGAACCATTTAATCTTCTTTCAGCTCTTGAAGTTTAAGGGGCTTTTATAAGTTTATTTCTCTGTATATTGCCTGGGGATTTCAGGTAGCATTGTAAATAGTAATGCACCAATTCCAGGTGAAAGTGATGAGCCATGTATTCATGTCAGAGCCTGTGAAACTTGAGCAGAGATGTAGTGATTTGTTTCAGACTATTCGAGTGCTGAATAGAAGCCTACTCAACAAGTGCAGATGCCAGGTACTTGAAAGCTTCAGTGTGCAAATAAATGGAAGGCAAACACATGTCTTAATGTCGCAACTTTAACCTAATCATGAGAGAACAAGATGCTTCTTATGGAACAGTAGGAATGTCACCAGGGCATGGTGCTATAGGACCTAGCATTTAAGTAAAAAACTCCAAAAACGGTAGCAGAGAAACTTGCCTTCACTTTAATTAAGCATTTGATTGTATATGTACAGCAAATACCTGAGATCAATAATACAACGGACAAAAATGCATGCACAAGCAGAAAACAGTGCACGTTTTGTAATCTTCTCTTATAAAGAGCTGTGATGATGTATTTAATATACAGAGTAGTCTCCAGTAACATTATTTTTCAGTAATTAACAACGTTCCAGCATGTTGACTTTTTCTTTTTAATATAAGCTGAACTTATTAAACTGCAAACCAAGATGCTTTTCAGGGCTGCTAAAAAACACACCGTTGATACCGTGCAACAAAAATGCATTTATGTGAAAATCAGTAGCAACTCTAGGAAAAACACTCTATAAAAGAGAATATCAGAAGGTGAAAAGATTACTCAGAAATCTAAGATGCTTTTAAACAAGATTAAGATAAGGACCATTAAGGTTCATGTCGCCGACCTGTCTGCATTAAGATATATCTTGCCTGGTGCCTGCATCTTAGATGATTCATTCAATATGTGTCATATCAAAGTCAAGGTATCCAGCGAGGAGAAAAATGCTAATGCTTATAAATTTTAGTGATAATCCATCATGATGAATTAACTGACCTTTCTTTAGTAGCTCTTTTACAAAATAAGCTCTGGACAATAATGTTAATGTTTTTTTTCTGTTGGTTTTTTTTTTTTTTTCTTAAGATGTTTGTTAATTTGTATCTGCTAATTATTGACTCATAACTTAGAAGTAAAATCTTTAAAATAGGTGGCCAAAAGGCTTTGGATGATTTGGTTCTTAAGATATTTGCTTGGGAATCAGATTTTTTTTTTCTACTTTCTCTCTGCACCTTTAAGAGGTAGGTAGTGCCCACCACTGATTCAGATTGATCATATTTCTTTTGTATCTCCTTTCCTTTACAAAACTTTAACTTTTGAAGTCAAATACCAATTTTAATTGATAGTTGCGTAGGGTTGCTGTGTATTTCTGTTACGCTGCCTCAAATAGATTTGTGGGGGGGATAGCTGGGAAAATAAGGGAATTCCAGGAATACAAGCCTAAGAATATAGAAATATTAACTTTATTCTTTCTTTTGAGAACCTCTAAGAAGTGGCCAAATGGCCTAAATCTACAGTTTAAATACTACTTGCTGTACTCTCTATGATTTATTTACATTCAAATGTCTGTAGCAGAGATTTTTCTTATACCATTTGCATTGCAGTGTGTTTTAAAATGCAGGTGGCAGTGGATTGGGGTTTGCAGCTATGCTGCTATGTGGAAGAATTCCACCCTTGTTGAGTTTTAAACTATGAGAGTCACTTTTTCACTGGCAGAAATAAATGCTGAATTTCATTTTGGAGTTTCCATGGATCCTGATGGAAGTTCTATCGATCTTACTCCATTTTCTTGAGTGTCTTGACTGGTCACCTTGTCTTCAGTAAGGACAGACAGAGCAGGCAGCCAGCTAACCTGCTTGAACTGGAGCACCTGTGTTTGTCACTTAGACTCTTCACAATTAGGTATCAGCCAAAGTAGAGGTGCCGTTACAGACAAGTGTTTTTTCCCATTCTTTTGGTGTACTGGTCTTGGCAGTGCTACTTGACTTTAGGTAAGCACACCTCATCAACATCACTTAACTCTGAGCAGAGCACAGCAATTGGTCCAACTCGGGCTGTTTTCAGCAGGCAGGCTCTTTGGATTCCCTTTAGGTAGGTAGTTTGGACCTCAGTTTAACCTCTGACTGTTGACTTTCCTGCCATTGCACAGCAGTGTGTCTGCATTGGATATGAGCCCAAATCCTGGAATATTCTGTCTCCTGGCCTGGACATAAATGTGCCACCTCCATATATGACAGGCTGGAGGAGGATCCAGTTTCAGCATTAATTCTGAATGTCTGTCTCTTCTTAGTTCAAGACTTGGTTTTCTGTTGGTTTTTTTTTTTTTTTTCTTTACTGAGATTTGTTTGAGGTTGGTAGGAAAAAAATAATCTTCAGAGTTTTGTCATAGTGGCAGAAAATGAATTGGGCCTAACGGTGAAAAAAGAGCAGAATCTGCTCATTTCTAAAACTTTCCTGAAATGCAGTTTTGTAAACAAATTATGTGAAACCCATTTTTGCTATCATCAATAAGAAAAAATGCTGCTTTCTGACAACTTCTATTTATTTAATGAATTACTTCAATACATTCACAAAAGATGGTAGTCTGTTTGGCCAGGCCTATTAAAAACATTAAGATTTGAGCACTGGCTGTTAAAGTGAGTAAATGGCAATATCACAAAGTTAAACAAATGCCAAAAAACATTTTCCAGAGTACTGGGGTTGTAACAATACCATTAATGAGGGCAA